CAAGTTTTAGGAAGCCCATCCATACTATGTTTGATGCATTCTGATGTTTTCTGCTCTGTTCTAATTCATTTTAAGAAAATTGCTAGTTGTGAGGCAGACCTCTCCTATCCCCACTGCTCCCCTCACCAGTGTATTTCATCAGTCTGCCTGTTCTGTTCCCCACTCTGTCTCTGGTGAATCCTCTCACCCTCCCGCACATCTGGCCTATACCCTGGTTCTTATATAAATCTTAAAAAAAAGAAAAAGAAAAAAGAAAATTGCTAGTTGCAACCCACTAAATTAATTTTCCACCTACTAATAAGTTGTAACAGAGTCTGATAAACCTCTGATCTAGCCTTTGTCAATGGGGTTCCCTTGTGAACCAGGAAACAGAAATGTTTTCTTAATCCTCCCAAGGATGGTGTGTGACTCATAGCATTCTAGATGTTTGGGAGAGAAGTTAATTCCTTATAGACAATGGATACCTGAGGGCATGCAAGCTTAATTCTCTCAATAAACTCCTGGTTGAAAAGTTTATGGGATCTGATGTGTATCATAAAGTCATACTCCTGCATATTAACCACAGGGTTCCTCCCTGGCTGACCTGTGCTCATCTCCTGGACTATCTTACCTTCTCAGTGACCTGGCTCGGTTAAAACCATCCTGAACTATCTGGAGTACCCCTAATGCAGCATGCAGGTTCTCAGCTGCACAGCCATCTTTGACCTCAACTCGCAGCTCAGCTGAGTGTCCTTTCACCCAAGACCTTCCTTGATAGTAGTGAGAACTATCGCACCCAGGTTCCATACCTGTCGATGCCCGAAGAGCAGGACGGTCCACTGTTTACGTCAGCATATGCTGCAGCTAGCAAGCTGCCAGGCCTCCTGTGAGCTCTTAATGACCTTCAGTTACGTTCAATGGACTTTGTGCCTCTGCTACTGGGTATGTAGCTTGACACTTAGCTATAAGGACACAGTCAGGTATATGAGGCATGACCTGCATGTTTAGGGAGGTTTTAACAGGCCTGCAGGATAGGACATAGGTACGAAAAACTAGCTCTAGTAGATCACAATACTCAGTTCATATGGGTTCAAATTATGACTCTTCTAGTTGTGGGTTTCTGGACCGAGGACAGACTCTAACTTGAGCCATTCTAGGCTTCAAATCTGTCATATGAGAAACTGAGGGTAATAAGTGCAGCACCTCATAGGGCTGTGGGTTTTAAATAAGAGGTACACATAAAGCCCTGTACACACTGCTTTGCCCAGAGCTCTCAGGAAATGTCAGAGTGGAATTAAGCAGGTGACATGGCCCTTGCCACGTGGATGCTGTAGGTGGAAAGTGTCACTGCTGTTAGAGGAGGGAATGGTCACTGTGGGTTGGACAGACATTGGAGGCAAACTAGGAGCTAAGCTTAGAAAGAAAAGTAGACCTTAGACTAGGAGGTGGGAAGGCATTCCTGGCAGGGTGAGCCAGCGTGCCAACAAAGGCCAGACAAAGGACGGTGTGTGCCTCGCCTGCAGGCTTGTTTTACTGCTAATGTTTGTGCATGTATTTATGCTTCTAAATAACATTTTCCAAATGGATGCTAAAGGTATTAATCTCTGGAGATGCTTATTTTCCCGTTTTAAGGCACCCTACCCCCTTTCTTCCACGACTTTTCACTGACTGTATACTGAGCCTACAATTTTGCTGACAGGGTCAGCTTGATTAAATCATTTTGGGTCATCCTAGAGATATGATTTACAAAGTTGGTCATGTATCATAATCACCCAGGGAACTTTTTAATCCCACAGAGTTCCAGGTCCCACCCTAAGGAATCTATTTGGGTTGATGATCAAGCAGGCTTGGTAATTGCTAGCTCCTAGAATTCATCTTCATCAGTTTTTAGTCTTACTGCTTTATAATCATGTCTGGGCAACAGGAAGTCAAATTTGTTTGAATTTTAGAGAGAGTTGAAACTCAGTGTTTCATAAAATTTAGCAATTTTCTACTTGGAAAAGACCTCGGAAGTCACTTAACCCTATCTCTCATTTAGGAAAAAAAAAAAAAACCCTCGTCTCTTTATATATCTCAGGATGATCCAGGCAAAGAAATACCCTGCTCCAGGGAGACTCTCTGCCCCGTGAATGACAGGTTCCTCTTCCTAATAGCTTTTTCTTTATTTAAAAAGAATTCATCTCCAAATTCAGCCTCTTGTTCCTTTTCTGTTTGTTCCAAGGTAACCTTCTGGAATGGCCCAGGATAATTCAGTGCATCCTTTTCAGGTTTCTGGAGCAGCACATCATGCCTTTCCTTAACCTTTTCTTCTCAAAGGGGAACATGCCTGCTTTCTTCCACTGGGTCCCAGAAAGACCCCCTTGAGTCCACTCCTACATGTTAATGCCTGAAGAAAACATAAGTGATGCAGGCTTGATCAATGTCATGACTTGAGCATTGAGTGTAACTATGTAAAAAACATTTGCCTTAGTTTTTCCTTCTATGATTTATTGGAAATTGATAGGGGGCTGACTAATACATCTTTCCCAGGATCCATTGTCCACCCTTCTTTTAAGAATTGGGACAGTTGCCTATTTCTGTTTCTGACATCTCCCATATTCTCCAAGAATTCTCTTTGATTACAGGTTCCTAAGGTCAAAGCCATTCGTGACACTTTCTTCTCCTTTAAATGTTTTGGGGAGGACCTCATTATCTAGCGGCTGATATACAGTATAATTTCTACCCTTCCACTCCCAACGAATGAACTGTTAGATAAGCTGCATCCAGTCTGAGATGTGTTTGGAGGGAGAGCATGGCCAGGGATGGAGGAGTCCCAGAGGGGCGGGTCTCGCCATCACTGCTGGGTGTGATCACCTCAGACAACGTGGCCTCAGCGCCTTGTCTAGTTTAGCAGCATAGTGTGTTTGGGTGGTTCTGTCAAAGAGACTTGCCTTCTGTTGTTCTTGGAAAGAGTATAAAGGTCAGGTCAGCAGATTTTTGTTTCTCTTCTCATCCCATAGAACAGGAACTTAAGACCAGAAGTAGCCTCTCCCACCCTTTCCCTTGACTCACTTCAGTGATGAGATCTTCTGTGGTCCATGGTGAAACAGCCTAGCAGGAGCCCAAGCACTGCTGGTAGCCTGCCTGGCTTCAAAGCCTGGTTGTTTCCCTTATCAGCTGAGTGACTCTGAGCATATTACCTAACTTCTCTGTGCTTCATCTTCCCCAGCTTTAAAATGAGAGTAATAGTACTTATTGCCAAGGGTTTCCATGAAGTTAAAAAAAATTAATTTACACATAATGCTTAGAATAGTGCCTCAGTGCTGCTAAACGAGTCATGATTGCTCAATGACAAGTTTGCCAAATGTTGATTGAGTGAATTATTTTATGTAATTCAGTGCAGAGGAAAAATACTCATGCACTATCATATTACGACAAACAGGGCACAAATTTGAAGATTTATTTAGTGTAGTTAACTCTGACTAATACAAACCAGAGTTTTATGTCAGGGGGGATATTTTTATAATTAAAAAATTGCAGGGCCTCCCCTGGTGGTACAGCGGTTGAGCGCTGGGCTGCGAGGCTGCCCACAGCCTCTGCAACGCCGGTTCGTTCCCCGGCCGCCGTCGAGGGTCCCAGCAAAAAAAAAAAATTGCAATTTTAGGAAAAAACATACTGACAATTTACTTTTATCCTTTTTTGATGAGCATGTGAAATACATCATTCAAACAAAATTATGTCAGATATATGTAGAGTGTGAAGAATAACACTTAAAAGAATAAGCAGTTGAATGTTTGAGTTTATTTTCAGCATCTTATTTTTTTCTTTATATGTCCTACTTTCCCTATGTTTCTCTCTTCCTCCTCCTTTCTTTTGTCTTGATATCATTTTTACTTTCCTTTAGTTCTATTTTCCCCTCCCATGGGTTTGGAAGTTATAGACTTTATTAAATTTTGACATGCCTATTTAACAGAATAGAGTTAATGTGTTTTCTTCCTTCCCATTAGAAAAGGAACTTGGAACGCTCCCACTGGAATTTCTTTGGAGTTATAAAATTTCACACAGAAAGGACTCTTCACATCAAAGTTGGTAGCTACAGCTTTTGATGTCTGGTTTGTTTAGTTCTTCCCTCTTCACAACATAGTAACTTCTCTCTTGGGAATACCCTAGCAACAGAAGCGTTACTGTTAGCTGAACTACAGACCAGTGGATCTGGATGAGGCCTTAAAGATTCTGTAAACTGGTATTTTTCAAACTTTTTGTCTAAGCCCAATGGTAAGAAATAATATTTTACTTCATAATCAATACACACATAAATCCAGTTTGTAAAAACAAAACAGAAGTTTCATGAAACAATACATCTCTTAGCTATTTCACTCCATTCTGTTTCTACATAAAGAAGGAAAAACTTGTACAAACCCAATAAATTGATTGCACAGAAATCTCAATCTAGCAGATGCCTGTGACTATGTCAGGGAGAATATAATGTTACATAAGCAGCAATATGGACTTCTGAAGACTTAATTTTTTGAGGTGACTTTGTTGGAAGACTAAGAGAATGCCATAGATGCAATGTCTTATTTTCAGGAAAGCATCTGGATAAACCTATTTAGAGAATGGCTGAGTGCAGGCTTAAGAGTTCGAAGCTTCCTCAAATAGGCCCCAGATTTGGGCCTCAATTTTCTCACCTATAAAATGTGGATAATAACCACAACAGCCTCCTAGTGGTCCTCAGAGAAATCACAGAGGTACCATAGCTATAGTGCTTAGTAAGCTCTTAGGAAGCCCCTAATTACAAGACCTGGGTAAGCAGACAAGCAGGTAAAATGGAATGTGGCTAATAGTCAAGGAGGCTTTCAGGTGTGTGCCTCCAACAAGCCCAGGTCTCAGAGGCCCAGGTGAAAAGTAGAACTCTGCCTTGGAGTTATCAAAACAAATCCTGAAGCTCCTTAATGCCATTGAAGATGACTGGGTGAGAAGTAAACCTAAATAAGTGACCTGAGTAGTCTGAACACCTGTTTCTTCCTTTGTTGTCCCTCCAGGGGCCTTCGTGGTGTGCTGGACCCCAGGCCTGGTGGTTCTGCTGCTCGACGGCCTGAACTGTAAGCAGTGTGGTGTGCAGTACGTGAAAAGGTGGTTCCTGCTGCTGGCGCTGTTCAACTCTGTCATGAACCCCATCATCTACTCCTGCAAGGATGAGGACATGTACAGCACCATGAAGAAGATGATCTGCTGCTTCTCTCAGAAGAACCCGGAGAGGCGCTCCTCCCGAATCCCCTCCACTGTCCTCAGCAGGAGCGACACGGGCAGCCAGTACACAGAAGATGGCATCACCCAGGGCACCGTCTGCAACAAGGGCAGTTCCTGAGCTCCTGAGTCCTCTTCCCCGTGGCCCAGCGGGGCCTTCTCTGGCAAAGAGCTGTTACGAATGGTACCTGCCTCTAACAAAACCCACACACAGTGTTACTCCAGGTCTGAATTAGTCATTCTAGGTTATAAAAAACAGTTTTTACATAGTCTAAAAGCACAGGTAGTAGAGAGGACACACTGCGTTTAGAGAAAACGCATGGGGTGAGGGAAGATGGCACAGGGGATTCCGCTTGATGTCCTGAGGGCCCCTGGCGGCACCACGGCCCTGCTATTCACTTTGAGCTTGGCCACCATCTTGTAGCCATTCGCTTGGTGTTTTTAAAGGATGTTATTATAGGGCTTAGGTCAAAATAAATAATAATGTTACTTGAGCCACTTTATGTAGCTATTTGGAATGCCTGTGTAGTTCTTTCTGCATGCAAAGTTTTAAAAAATGCTTTGGCAATGATATTTTCATCCTCAAAGAAACCTGGCCACTAGTTATGTGTTCAGTAGGAATCTCAGAAAAACAAATCAATAAAGACTCCAGACTGAATTTGATTTTTAACTGAAAGAACATGCTGAGGAAAAAGATTTGATGTAATAACAAAAAAAGTAAATATTAAATATTTATTTTGAAATGAAAAAGAGACCTTGGCATGGTCCTGTATGCTTATGGATTTGGGCCTATTTATTCATTTCCACTTTGTATTCAAAGACACAGAGGACAGTGATGGTGAAATAAATTCAGAGGCCACCTTGACTCCTACTCTCGGATAATCGCTGTAGAAATGACTGGTTCTGAACAAAGGGAGAAAGATGTGATTCCTTTGCAAACAGACATACAGCAGAGTAAAAGGTATATGGATAATCAGGCTGATTTCCTTCCATATACGATTAAATGGAGCTCAACACGAAGCTTTATTTTCAGTTACCTCCCTACCCCTAGTGACTTGTCAGATTTAGTATGTGGAATAATTTTCACATCTCTATTTTGCCCACGGTTATTGACATACTTCTAGTACACTTTGCCTTACTTTTGATCTGGGTTCTTTCAAAAATGTTTCTCCTTCAAAGAACTAAGTAGACAACATGAAAGGCAAGTCAGTAAGGGAAAAAAAATGTTTCATACACATAGGCTACTGACCAAAGTTTTCTATGTAAAGCATTTAGATAGTATATTCTGATTTTAAATAAGAATAACTTCAAGGCAAATATAGTATTTATGTTGTTTGCAAAAGAAGTTTACATTTTTTTGGCTATTGTGATGTAACATTTATGTGCAAGTACTACTTGTAATAAAAGAATTTGAAAAGTCATGCTTTTAAATATAATGGCCTGAAATAGAGTATTATGATTTGAAGGTGTAAATTTCACAAATTCTGTATAGTAAGTCATCTATCTGATGCTTATGTCAAAGCTCTATATAAAATAAAATTTAAAAAAAGAATCCATTCTCTCTTGTTGAGGTGTATTATTGCTTTGTGTGTTTTCTAAGTAAAAATATGGTTTGTGGTAACTAAAGCACACATTTCTATTGCACAAGAAAAATCAGATTTGCCATGAAGTACATACTCTCAATGTTTTATGTAAGCATTTGGAATCTACAGCTGGCCAAAGGGTGGAGAATTGAAATTGAATTCCAGTCCCTGAATAGCTACTAAGGGATCTTTAAAGGTTTTATTTTGAGGAAAGCACCATTTTTAGTACTCTGCAACAGAATGTCATATTCAGAATGGTGTCTGGAGGGGATCCAAGTGTGGAGACTCGGGTGGAAATATATAGCTTTTGTTTTTATGCACACACATATCTCAGCGATGGTGCGAGAGTAGAGAAGTTGTATATATTTAGAAATGACAAGTGCCAGAAGTCTCAGGCTCACCAGGAACACAGCAAACACATCTTTTAGTCAGAAAAAAAATGAAGAAAGAATGTTTCTCAAGTCCTAGGACCCTGAGCTTATCTGCAAGCCATTGAGATGATGGTTCTAAAATTTAAATCTTTTGAGACGAGACTTTGACTCAAATATTGGGTTACTCCCTAGATAAACAAGATTTAATTTTCTTGGATTTGTAGCACCATCCAAGGTGTTCTGATAAATTTGTATTGGTGGTTGAATTTAGGCCTTTGTAAAGAGTAACTCTGCCTTAGGAAAGAAATATTTATTGGAAATAAATTATTGAAATCTCATGGTGAAATTTTTTCAAATGAATGGTAAACCTGGGCCCATAATGTGACTAATAGAAGCTCTAAGCACTGAAATGATCATGCCATTTGTGTAATTCCAAATAAGAGCCATACTAAGCCATGTTTAAAGCGCCAACAAAGCTATAGTTTCTCTCATAATCAGCATTTTGATGTTTTTTTGTAAATACAAAATAAAAATTTAGAAATTCCAATGTCTTTGATTCACAAGCACCCTAAGCACATGTGCAGGCCATGGTTGGATGGTCCAGGACCAGAAACTGATTGAAGTCAGCTACAGCAGCATCAGGTGGGGGTGGGGTACAGCACTCTATCCTCATGTGCAGACTAACTTTAGGGCAAGCCGTGTTTATAGGTTGATTTCCTCGTGAGGTTGAAATCCCTTTATGTTTATTAGGTCATTAATCATCTAATCATCCAGGGAGGTGGGCAATAAGGATGTTTGGTGCTCTTTTTTAATTGATTGAATAGATATGGTGAAAAATAGCCGTGTTGCAGGGTAAGTGATTTTCAGTCTTTTCTGCCCTCCCACCATTAGGATCGATGATGGATCCTTGCGGTCCTGAATGCATGCCTGATGGCGGGCATCTGGAGTAGGGTGTGGGCATGCGTAAGTGGGCACACCTGGGCTAAGACTGCGTTTATAAGGGTGGCGTCAGGGGGACGCCAGTAGAGCAGAGAAGAATAGAGAACAAGAATGAAAGGAGCAGAGAAGAAATGGCCGTGAGAGAATGCCAGAGAGCCCAGAAGGAGTGAAGACATGCTGGGGGCTGGGAGTCCTGCCAGCCTCCTGGCTCCCCGGCACCCCTGCCTGCCGTGTGCCTGGTAAATCCCAAATAAAGCCTGAAAAGCCCTGAGGGCTCCAGGACTTCTCTTTTACCCTGTCTGCTCGATCATAGAGATCCTGCTCTGTGTCCTCCTGTCCTTACACCTGTGAAAACACCAATGAAGGAAACTCAGGAATAAACTCAAGTCCTGGAATAAAAATAACTAAATATTCTACACAATGATGATCTCCAAAGAATTTAAAATGTGCCAAAAATATATCTGACTTCTGGTATGCTAACAAGGAATTATGTCTTCTTGGTGAACCCCTAAGTGTGGTATTAAATTGAAAACCCCTAGAGCTTTTGCCAGTTTTTAACATTGTCATCCAGGCATAGGAGTTAGGATTAGAATCACTTAAAGATGTGGAATTTTTTTAAAGTAAGGGAAGTTGTATTTTTGTGTGAGAGATGTGCTCCCGAACACATAATTTAAAATACAATTCCAGACTTGTTTACACAGGATTAATATTAGGTGGGAGATGCTGTTGCTGTGGGTTCCTCCCCACCATGATATATTTTATTTTTAAGGCATCCTCTCTAGTGCTTTTTAGAGTGTGCTCTCTCCTAAATGAATAAATGATAAACTACTGATAGAAGTGGCTAAGGGTCCAGAATGTTCTATGTATAACTTCTGAACTACATACTTATAGTGCAAATAAGAACACACTGCTCATGAAATCAAACATGGAGGTTCTGGTGGGTGCCACTAAGAACTGAATGACACTCCTAGTACAGAATATAACACTCTATCATACATAGAATGCAGCACATCTGCATGCCAATCTGTGAACACAGTTTACTAATCACTGGGTCAGCCAGTTTTATAATTTGCTATTCTTGACAACTTTTTTAGAATTGCAATTTTATGCAGCAAAACTTTATAAAATTTTTCTATATCAGCAAATCCATGTCTGCATAAATCAAATGCCATAAGCTGCATCAGTATTGTATTTGTTATTGAGATTGGAAACTGCACATTCTGTATGAGTCATGAGGGAAGATAGAAGGAAAAGGGGAGCAGGCTGTCTGTCCTGGGTCCATGCTACATCTTTGTGCCTATTAGGAAATCAGATCCTTTCCTCAAGAATGTTTTACTTACACTAATTGGAAAATTATCTACTACACCAATTTAGTTAGAATTGTATTGCTACTTTCTAGAAATGTATACTAATACTTATGCATGTCTACAATATTCCTAGTATACATTGAGTTGTTCAGGTCACCACTCACACAAAGGGACATGACAAACATCTTAAGAAAGCACTGTATATACACAATGGAATACTATTCAGCAATCAAAAAAGATAAACTCATGCCATTTACAGCCAACATGGATGGAGCTAGAAGGGATTATGCTCAGTGAAATAAGAAAGAAGGAAAAAGAAAAATACTGGGTGGTTTCACTTATAGGAAGTATATAGGGGGGTATCCTCTGGTGGCACAGCGGTTGAGCGCTGGGCTGCAAAGCTGTCCGCAGCCTCTGCAGCACCAGTTCGATCCCCAGCTGCTGGCGAGGGTCCCACATGGCGCACAGACCTCTCCTGCTGCACCCTCTGCTCCCCTCAGCAGTGTATTTCGTCAGTCTGCCTGTTCTGTTCCCCGCTCTGGCTCTGGTGAATTCTCTCACCCTCCCATGCTTCTGACTGTACCCAGTGCTTGTATAAATAAATAAATAAATCTTTTTTTTTTTTTTTTAAAGAATATAGGGAAACCAAATAAGGCAACGATAAATCAGAGACATTCTGTGGGGAGTGGGAGGGGGACAGAGATCAGAACGAGGGAAGAGCACAGGGGACTATTGGGATGGTGCACAGGTGAATTGATGGTGGGAATTCTATGGGGACTACTACTGAGAGGAGAAAACAAACATTGTACAAAAATGAACAATGATGTAAAATATATGTAAATAAATTATATCCAAAAAAAGCACTAGATTGAAATTCAGGCAATCTGGGTTTTGATTTCTGCTCTGCTCTAAACAGCCTGAGAAATTCTAGACACAATTGCTGATCTAAATGAGGGGCTTAAATGTCCTGTAAAGACTTTTTTAGATGTACATGTACTTCTGAATATCTGCAGGGTAAGGTAAAAAGTATCAGGCTTTTCTGCCCTCCTGCCATTAGGATTGATGATGGATCTGCCTGATGGATCCGCCTGATGATTGATGAATGCATGCCTGATGGCAGGCACCTGGAGTAGGATTGGGGTTGGGGGGGGTGTGGTATGTAGATGGGATTCACCTGGCCTGAGAGACTGGGCTTATAAGAGCGGCGTCACGGGGAAGCCAGTGGAGCAGCAGAAGGAATGAAAGGGAGAGAAGAGCAGAGTGAGAGAGAGCAGAAGGGAACCAGCAGTGAACCAGAGGCCATGAGAGAACGCCTGAGAGCCCAGGAAGAGTGAAGAATTGCCTGGGACTGGGTGGCCTGGCGGCCTCCTGCACCACCTGCGCCCCTGCCTGCTGTGTACTTGGTAAATCCCAATAAAATCCTGCAAAAGCCACCCAGGGCTCCAGGATTCCTCCTTCATCCATCTGCTCGGGTCATAGAAAACCTGCTCTGTGCCTTTCCACCGCTACATTATCACCTACCAAATGTGAATCCTGGAAAACACTGTAAGTCTTCAAATTTTTTGGATATCACTCTTTGTAGAGTTTTCAGAGAATAGAAGCTCTGTTTTCAATTATTGCTAAAGTTCTTAAGCTTTAGTGCGTGTAAGAATCACCTAGGAAAACCATAGAAAATCCACATAAGGCACATGTGAAATGTGTCATGGTAAATCCATGATCATGAAGGGGAGAATGGACTTCTGGAATAAAAGGGAACTGCTAACCAAAATGGAGACCCTAAGAGCCTGGGGAGCTGCCTGTTTGCCAAAATGAATGTACGTTTGAAATGTGTGAGCTGCTATTTATTTCATCAAATACAAAACAACACATTTCTTTTTTTCATTTAATTTAACCATTATTTTTGAACATTTCCTGGGTGCTGGAGAACCAACAAAAAGTCCTGTCCTTAAACAAATGAACAAAACTATAAATATGGTAAAAGGGAGCTGACGATATTGAGTGTGGACATGTAGGGATGTAGTTGTCCTCTAGCTACATCGTTGTCACCTTGGAACACTGGTGACATTGATGTTGTATTTTTTTTAATCTTTGTCCTCTATAATTTTTGACATAGAATTCTCCACCACATGAGGAAAAGAAAAAGAAATCGCCTAACAGGGTTACTTTTGGAATTAAAACCAGCTTGTGATTTATGAATTAGGGATCTGGTACAGATCATCTAAATTAAACTTGTGTTTTTCTGGGTTAGGTGGAGGCCTGACCGCAGCTTTACATAAATTAAAAAAGAAACATATCAGTCTTCAGTTGGAAGAACAGAAACTGAGTACATGAAACAGGATGGTAT